TTTGTGTGCTTGCCCCCAGCCGCCGCCAGGATCAGGACTTGAAGAGCCTCTCTCAAAGGCAGCGAGACATTTGAGCGACCCCTGCACCAGCCTTGATACGTCAGCTGGTATGGCTGGCCGAGCAGACTCACCGGCAGTGAGGTCCCGAGGCAAGCGAATTCGTTGATCGTGACGATCTAAAAGATGTGCCACGAAGACAACCTGTTCTGCCAGGTTTTCACAGCCCGTGAGGGGCTATGCTCAACTAGGAGCCAGCAACAAGAAAAGTCAACCTTTCTGAAGTTCATGTGTCAACAGGTATGCTTCTCCCAACTGCAACCCATACTCCTACTGCGATGCCTTTGACCTACTCGTTGCACTTTTGGTGCTGGCCTCCAGTTGACCTTGCACGGAGATGGCTTCGCAACATGCAACTGTCTCCGGGGCACTGACTCGCAGAACCTTTGCACGATTTGCGGCCGCCCAGCGTTTTGCGGCCCCGCGGCATAAAACAGCTTCGCTTGCGACTATTTGAGGGGGAAAGGGGGTAACTAGCAGACACTGACACTTGATGGATAAAGCTTTGCACAGTGCAAATTTGCCATCAGCCTTTTTTTTGAAGAGGTAGGCGTTGGCCACCTCAAAAACGCAATGACCAGATTGCTCTTCGGGGCGCCAGGGACCTTCGCTTCGCTTTCGGCCCGGAGACCTTCTCCGGCTGCGTGGGACTGGTCCGCGCTGGGAAGGCACGGGTTTTGTGCACGCGAGAACAAGACATGCATGGCGTCCCAGGTTGGAAGAGTGACGGCGCTCGTTTTCCTCCTGTTTTGGGTAGAAGTCGCAACAGATGTTAGGCCAGGCCTCAAGAGATTTGGCTGCAAGGTCAAGAGCTCACGGCAAAGGTGGCCGCTGGGCAGAAATGTGGATGTGAAAAAGACATCAGATGGATGTTTGATCCGAAAAGTCGCGTGCTGAAGCACCGCAGCATTCGTGAGCTAGGCTTTATTGATATTCTTGAACACTCTTGTTTTTCTCTTGCTTCCTTCTTTCTTTCCTTGACTTCACAAGACGACTTCAGGTCGACGTCCGAGAGTCTGGCCCTCAGCCCACAAAAAATGCGGCTGTTACAGTAGGCTGTTCTGGACAAGCCGAAACGATCGAACACGTGGTGGTTTTGCAGTTTTTGCATCCTTGGTTTGTCCAAGACTGGCTCAATGAGAATGGGTTTGCCGAAAAGTGGCTGCATCCCAGACATCCCAGACCATCATGCATCATGCGGACATGTGCTGCCAAGTTATCTCTGAAATTGCCACGTGGAATCCCCTTTTCAACAGTTATTGTGGTGTGGTAAGTTTCCACTTGACGGATTGGATATGTTGTTAGGGATTTTGCGTTTTACAATTTTGCGTCACATTGTTAACTGTTAACCAATGGGTTGGACCAACTGCCAACATGTGGCAATAGTCAAGCAAACACGGGACACATGCAATATATAACATGGACATGAAGGCGGGATGCATTTTGCCGAACCATATGCCATCAGGCGAGTATTTGAGTACGGTGATGTCGCTTCGTCTTCGCTTCCATGAACCCAACTGCTTAAGGTCAGATGATACGGTGCGACTTTCTTGCAAGTATGTGGCCCGTGGCAGTGGTTTGGGTGTCGCTGAAACAACTTGTTTTTGGTGCTTCATCATGGCCCCAAACCAGAACGAGAGGGAAAGAACTTTGTGCCAAACTTGGCCCTTTGATTTTGAGTGATGCACATCCTGTGTTCATTTTCAACGCTGGGTTGCCAAGGAAAGTGGAATATTTCAGTGGCGGCTTCAAGCGGTTCACACAGGCTGAATTGTGGCAACTGGTGGTGCGCCGGCCAACGAATGCGCACTCCATTGAGGACCACAGCTTTGGGGATCCGAAGCTTTGAAGACCACAGTCCGAAGCTGTGCAAGTTCTGAGACTTGCGTGATTCGGGTGCTGCGAATGATTATAGATTATTTTCATTTTTTCATTTATTTTCCCATATCATCCATTCCTTATCAAGATGCTTGGGATCTGAGTCTGGGTCAAGAACTTACACCCACCAACATATCAACATATCATTGTATTTTGCCCACAGCGCGAGAGAGATTAGGGGTTCTATACTTGAAGTATTTCCCAGATAGCTAGAGCTATTGGGGTTCCTTTCTTGTGTACGGCCATGACCCGTTGTGCGTTGCGTCCAGAGGACTTCCACCCAGGGCAGCATTTGGTGCTCCAGGGCCTGGGCCGCGCGAGCACCGATCGCTATGTGGCACTGGTGGCTGCTGGGCTCCTGTTGCCGATCCAATGGATGTTTATGGGCATTTCATGTGGGGATTCTGAACTCAGAGTGTCTACAGGGGTTGGAGGTTCAGCACAATTTTCACTTGCGACTTTTCTATGGCATGTGCATGTAGGCATAAGAATTTCAATCTATCTACATGTGAGGGATGTGATGCCCAGCAGGCTCGTCCGATTCGGAGCGGCCTCCCCCGTCTTTCCCCCGGCCTTCGGACGAGCAAGACTCGAAGCTGTGAGCCGCATTGGTGGTGCGGCTTTCCGCTACTAGGAACAATGTGCGCTTCGAGGGGCTCCTGGCCTTACTACTAGGAGCAATGTTCGCTACTAGTAACAAGTGCCTTACTAGTAGTAACAAGAAGCTACTAGGGGCTCCTGGCCTTACTACTAGGAGCAAGAGGACGCTACTAGTAACAATCATTCACAATTGATGAGTTGATGAGAGGACGCCAGCTGAGGTGGACGTCCGGCGGTGCGAGGCTCAGGCGAGGTGAGGACGGAGGCGCCTTTTAGGAATCAAAGGCGCCATGGCAGGGTGGTTCAAACCAGACGGGTTTTGTGGTTGAAGTGGGGGCAGACAGAGGTCAACAGATGATTCTTGCCTGTGATGGAGCTGGAGCTGCCTGTTCAAACTTGGTCCTCAATCTGGTCGAAACCTTCCGACGCGGAAAGGAATGAGCGTTACGCACCTACCGCTCTGAGGTCAGATGAGAGTGTCAAGGTGCGGTACATCCACGGCGAGTTCAAGCGCTTTTGCTTGGGTGAGCTGGAGATGCTCATGCCGGAGCTGGCTTTGGGTGATATGGGAGAGCGTTACTTACTGAACGATTCTGGAGATGCGACGGGGTCAAGAGAGGTGATCAAAGTTCCAAACTCATCAGGACTCCAGAGAAACCCGTTCAAAAGAGAAAGGCAGTCTTCCAGGCCTGTGGGATTCCATTTTTCCCTGGGACACTGCCATCAATTGCTTGAGCCTGGTTTCGATGGTGATCGTTGCTTGAAATGGCTGGCAGGAGGAACAAGAACCGGAACGATGGGAGAATTGGTCAATTGGTCAACACATTTATCTCACAGGCTGGTTGGGAAACCATTCCTGAAACCATTCCTTGCAATGAGCTGTGGTTAGCTTGGCACATAGCATTGACATGACACCGCCAGGCTCAGGGAAGTGGTGGTCAGGACGTCGCTCGGATGAAACGACCACCTGGCTTCCACGCCAAGAATAGCGAGAATTTGCGATCAACCCTTCAAGGGAATTGTGTGATTGTCGGCCGACAGGGCTGTCAGTGTTGACAATTCTGCCCATGGATTTTTACAGTAGTTCCCACAGATCCTGCAGGAAGTAATGGTAGGCTCGGAGATCTCAGTGAAACTGCCTCAACAATGAAGGAACACTTGCACTGTAAGAGATGTGCCCGTGTGATCATGTGCGCCAAGGGAACTTTGGTGCAACGATCGTTGACATCCGTCACTCTGATGCCACCGTGAAGGTGCCGTTGGCGCGCATCAAAGGGGGCGAGTCGCTCAAATCACCTTTCACTGCGGCTCGTGGGGGAGGCCAGGCCGCTGTGGGCCTGTCCTGTCAGCCTGAATCTGTGAGAAATCCGCCGTAGGTCGTAGGTCGCCCGGGCGACACCCAAGGTGCAATACACCTCAGGAGGGTTCAAGCGCTTCCCCATGATGGAGTTCAAGCAGCTGGTCACCGATCAGATCGCAATCCCTGAGCGCCTTGGCTCAACTCACACTGCTTTCATGACGGGAGTGGGCAGCACCACGGGTGTCATTTTTCTTAATTCGTCCTGAGCAGGCTGAGGAGCATTTGGGATTGGTGAGACGGACTAGTGACTAGAGCACCTAGACTAGGCCTGTCCCAAATGTGGTTCATGCTGCATGCTTGGTGAATGGTGTCCCCAAGAAGTGCACAAATATTGCGCGCCTCGTCATGCACTTCCGGTTTTGGGGCAGTTCTGTATCCCCAGTCATGAAACGTATGAAAGATCATGAATCGGATAATGCATGCCACTTGCCGCAAGCAGACCGGATTCCCAAAGAGCTTCAACTAAGGATGTGGGAGGTGAGGGCACCGGCAGCTGTTTTTGTTCGTCTTTTTGTGGACTGTCCTATTGGTGTCATGCAATCTGCGACGCATTGGACTAGCATTCAAGTGCGAAGATGTGCTCATTCAAACCATTCAAAGGATTTGGAAAGCCATTTGTCCCTACTCGGCTGCGATCAGCACATGTGTTCTGTAGATCGATTTGGCGAGGACTGGTCCTCTAGCAGCACCCCAGAGCTGACCGAACTGGATCGACTGCATGATGTGGGGATCTTAGATAGTATTCAGAGTTGGGACCAGAAGTGTGCGGGGGTCTTTGCACAAGCTGAGGAGATTGTGCAGGCCATCAGGACAGGCACTGGCACGCATTTCATGCTTGTTGCTCCCTGCGACTGACGAAGTACGCTGAATACTATCGAAAAGACAACCTCTTAGTGCACAGTGGACAGCAGCTACAGCTCCTGTATGTTGGATATCAAAAGGAGTTGGATCTTCCAAGTAAGGCAGTTGTGACAAAAGAGGGGAAGTACAACGTGTTCGGGCAGGTGGAAGGAGTGATGTGGGGTAAGCTTGTGGGTATGATGCATGTGGACGTGCTGGAGGGGATAGCCGGTCTTAAAACACACAGAACCGCACCAAAGCCAACCACCACATTCATCACATTGTAGCATCCTGCTTTGCATCCTTTGGTAGGGGGAGTGCCCTGACACTGTTAGGTAGGATGGCAGCTCCCTCGGACAATTTCAATTTGGCGTTGTAAAACGCCACGATAATTTTTAACTGTAGCAGTCATGGGGCTGGACGGTGGCTATGTATTT